ACCAAGCCAGATTAAGCACCCGCGGCCCCACCTCCTGCCAGATGACAATTGCACGCGCGCAAGGACACCTGCTTGCGAAAGAACACCAAACCCCCTGAAGAGAATGTTGCTCAGCACTGCGCCGCAAAAAGCTGCCAAAAACCGCCCACGGACCAGGAAAGCTTGAGTACCCCGAACTTCTTGAAAGAAACAAGCTCCTCGCAACTTCGTGAAAAAAGAAAGGCTGTTCAACCAACACGCGCAATAGACTTAGGCAAAACGCCTGCGTGGCTCGATGCCGCTTACGGGACGCTCCGCTGGACTCGAAAACAGCACTTGCTGATCCATCAAGAACACGCTCCACAATGGCACACACACACACACACACCTACCACCTCACCGCGGACAGTTGCGAACTGTTGCGGACGGTTGCAAACTTCGGAACAACTCCTCGCGAACACGGCCTCAGCCCCAGACCCCCCTTATAAACGGGAACCCTTCGCCGCGCATTCGGCAACAGCCTAAGCCGGTGGAACCCATCTATTTCTACCGATCAAAGGATACCTATGCCGTTTGCTTGGGTTGGACCTGCCAGAGAAAAACGGATTCTCTGCCCCTAGCCGCTGACCGGTTGCAACTGAGCAAAAATGTTCTGAATCGGCTGCTTCGCATTTGCCCTACCCGATCTTAAATTGTTGTGGCGGAGACTCCAAACGAGAAGTTGGATGGTCAGAGCTGGGGTCCTGCTTGACCACCAAACCCAGAACCGACATTGTGAGTGATAGGCGCTCCCAAAACAAGCAAGTTCAGAGATGGGAACGCAGCTCGGGATTCCTCAAGGCACTTGAATCAGCACAGCAAGCCGCGCCTATTTTCTGCTGTTTGCCGGAAGCATGCAAGATCTGCATCCAGCCCCCAGCCCCGCACGGGTGGGCGGGAGGGAAGCAAAAAATAGAAGAAGAAGAAGAATGAAACGAAGTCAATGTTGACTGCGACAACTGCTGGAACCCGAGCTGCACGGACACAAGTTGATCAACCTCCTGCAACCCCAACTCAAAACACAGGGGAACCCTGGCACCCCTAGAGTTCAGAGATGGGAACGCAGCTCGGGATTCCTCAAGGCACTTGAATCAGCACAGCAAGCCGCGCCTATTTTCTGCTGTTTGCCGGAAGCATGCAAGATCTGCATCCAGCCCCAAACCAAACTGGCAAACAGCCGAAACAGGCGCGGGGGTAAATGCCCAAGAAAAGAGACTGCGCCTGACGCATTAGGCTTGGCCTAGAGCGAGGAGGTGTGGGCTCCAATCTGCTCGCAAAGGAAATAATGACACGGCTGGCTTCGGGACGGGCAACAGCTGTTGCAAAGCCAGACGAAATCTGCGCTCGGGATCCCATCCTTGCAGGCGTCCGCGGCTCAAATCATCCGCCCGAACATTGGCATGACCTGGAATATGTGATATGCAGGGCACAATCTGCGAGGAATGGCAAATACTCGCCCACAGCTGCAAGAAAACCGACATGGGCCATGTGGTGGAAAGCATCTTGGCCGAGGCCGCTTCCGCGGAGGTGTTGTCACTGCCGGAAGACAAGTAAACATGGCCGGCCTGAAAAGCCGTGTTTTCTCTCATCATCAGCACCAGCGCGCACTGCGCCACGAGTTCCCAACAAGCAATGTATGACTGCATTGGAGAATCAAGCGCAGGCATCAAATTCCGGATTTCTGCAGCAGTAAAGGTTTCGTGAAACCAGAAACTTGCATGCTGGTTCTGCGCCCAGCCGCCAATTCCAATCTGGTCAGCCGTAGCGAAGGCATCTGCAGCCATTTGGAACGAAGAGTGCTGAGGCTCCCGCATGCTGCAAATCCACGGCAATGAAGAAAATACATTCTTCCACCAACAGAGTTGCTGCTTGAGAACTGCTGAGACCTTCCGATACTTGTGTTGGGGATTTACTGCCCGAATCCAACAAGGTTGCGAAGTGAAGGGGCAGTTCAGCAAATCCTGCTTGCTCTGTATCGCTGTGTGTTTAATGGTGATCAGCTTGCTGCCTACCGGGATGTACAAGTGGGGGCAAGCCTGCTCCAGCCGCGCTTGCCCATCGAGTCGGGCGATTAGCCCTGGCCAGTGAGCACTTGGAATGAAGAAGAAAGTTGCTGGCGGTGTGGCCAGCGCCTCGTAAACACAAGCGAGATGTGGCCTGAGGTATGGGAATAAACGCGTGACCCATACGAGCAAACCCACAAGTTTTTCCAGCGATTGCGCGCAGCAGGGTTCCTTCAAGCAATCATCCAAAAGACCCAGAATCTTGAGGCATTTGGCGCGAGGAAGGCTAATAGTTTGCAAGTAAAAGTTCAGTTCCCACCCATTCCATGTGACGACATCTTGCAAAGTTGACTTGTGCCAGGAGATGGGCACCTCCAGGAGCAACAACAGGGCCGTGGCAATTGCAACAGAAACTGCTGCGGTACTCCGAGGTAACGACCCCAAAATGTCGTCAACATATGTCAGGCAAATGTGCCGAGTGTAGATGAAACCGTGCAAGAGACGTGTGATTGCTGCTCCGCATCGAGCCCACCAGTAGGCGCTGAAGCGGCCACCGAAGTGGCATCGAGTATAACCATACAATGTGCCATCAAAAGCAAACAAAACTAATCCGCGCTCAGCCTCTGAGATTCGTATTTGTTTATGGGCTGCACTAACGTCCCAGGAGACGCCGACCCAGGGATCTCTGGGGGGCTTGGGGCCCATGCACTGCCTCAGCTGCTCGACGCCAGGAAGCGCGACTCTTGTTGACTGCGACAACTGCTGGAACCCGAGCTGCACGGACACAAGTTGATCAACCTCCTGCAACCCCAACTCAAAACACAGGGGAACCCTGGCACCCCTAGAAAACCTCCAGCCATGTTAAACCTTAGGAGAACGGTTGGCTTTTGGAGATGGGGAACGAAACCCTTAAACATGATCTTCTTAGTGATGAGTTGCACACTTCTCGCTAGTTCAGAATAATCGCAACTGCACTGGGTCTTTTACCGACCAAGCATCTCAAATCATTGGCCACATCTTGCTGGCGAGGATAGCGATCTTTGACCCCCCAAGCTAAACTCCTCTCGGTTAGTTGGTCCAAGCCCAAAGAGAAAATCAAAAAGGGGATGCCCCCAATGAGACGTTCCTCAATCACAATTTGGGATTCCATGATTCCATGGCATTGGACCCATCATGGGCCTGCAAAACATAGGGAAACCACGCAATCTATCTGTCAGGATCTTGCGGATAGATTTTTGAAATCAGCCCACAGTTTGAAAGGTTGGGTTGGCAAAGCCAAGCGGGGAAGTGCTGTCCTTGTTGAAAACAAAACTACAGGTTCAAACTGGGCTGTTCAAACTGGAGCGCTGGATAACCCTGATCGGTCCATCAACCCTAGTGGGCAGCCACTTCGGGTTCCAACTTTCTTGGCCCACGGGTGGGGCCAGTCAAACTGTGTGTTGGGAACATCGCCCAGTTTGAAAAGCAAGTTGACAAAAAGTTATAGCAATGCTGAAAGGGCAACGCAAGGTGCTGCAGCACCCATCATCACAGGGAAAAACATGAGGAACTCTGACAGGCTTGGGTTTGTCCTTCTTGGGATGACGCAACGTGAGTTGCCAAGACTCACAAACAAAACAGTCGGCGTTGATAACCTGACAATCCTAAGGCCTGAAAGCCTAAACCATAGATGGACAAATCAATGCTTGAATTGCGTGTTGTAACAACATGTCAAATCTGGGTTCGTATTTGACATTGTGTGACCCCTGAGAACAACCAACTGCTTACCCGTTACATGGCCAGTTGGGGTGGTTGACACGCTGAATACTGGCATGTCTGCAAAACCCAAGTTTCCGAATTCCCAACGTGCCCCCTTTAAGGATCACTCCACAAAAGGAACTCCCTTGAAACGCATGTCTTTGCAAAGGCTGAGGGACCGGTTGGCTGCCAGTTTTTTTGGGCGTGGTAAATGAGCCTGGTCCGTTTGGCAAAAAACAAAGCTAGGGCAATCTGGGTGTGTTCTTTTTAAGGTGGCCCCCGAAAACGAGTTTTTTCCTGTTGGTTCCCCCTCGTTCCCCTTGTAAAGCCACAAAACAAGTGGTGCCCTCAAAACAAGAGGAGCGACGCATCTACCTGCCATTTCATGGGCGACCAGCTATCATTCACCTCCGCGTGTCCGAAACGGATCGAAACGAAACGCGCGCCTTGAACCTGCGAGACTGCATGAAGAAACAACACCAACAACCGGAAACAACAACAACAAAACGCAGCAGAGGGTATCCGCTGGAGAGCCAGGAAAGCGATGGCACCTGTTCTTTCATAGTTGGTTGGTTAAAACAAACAACGACACAAACAACGAGCAAAAAACGAGCAAGCGCCAGAGGACTTCCGAGCACATCTCTTTGGGTTTTGGGAGAGGGCGGGGGTGATACGGGGACATTTCTAAAGAGCCCAAGGTAAACCGCTTCAACCCCGGCCTCAAACTCTTGGCCCTAGGTCCTGGCGATCGCCGCAAGGTTTGAGAGGCCGCATGTCCGTCACTTCTTACATGGCAGAAAAGGAAGCAACGGTTTTGAGAATGTGGACAGTCGGGGCCTTGGCGGTCTGGGCTGTTGTGATGATGTTTGGGATTAGCGTGCGGCTTGAGGTTTGCAACCTGCAGGGCGATGAGCCCAGGCGTGTTTTTCGGGAAACCCAAAGGAAGCCAACTTTTTAGGGGACAGCAATTGTGAGACATGTGCTTTTTGGGTACTGAACATTGCCCCCTTGTTGAAGACTAAGTTGGAACTCACCATCACTCACCTACCTCGGGTTTGTTTTGGAGCCGACCAAAATAGGATACGCCTGAATCTGGTTCATATTTAGTAAAGAGATCAGCACACGACCCACTTGACCAGTCTGAGCACTCCGCTCGATCTGCCGCGCTTTTGCCGCACGGGATGCGCGTATCGAGGCTGCTGAAAGGCCAACGGAGAAAGGGGGGCCTGGTTGCTATTAGACCTATCTCCCTGTCCAAAGGGGGTTTATCCCCCATTGCTTCCTCGTGGTGCGCTTCTGCCACCGCTTGCTGCCCACCTGCAGTGACCATTGGCCAGCAAGAATGCAGTCGCTAAGCCCGGATGCTCGGCGGAGTAACCGAATGTGGTTCCAAGCCAAAACCTTGTCGGGGAGACGCTTCCTTGTCTAAACGGTAAATGAGGGATGGCTAACGCTTCTCAATATGTTCCCCCGTTCAGTGGTGGGTTAAAGGGAAACCACCGGTTATTTTTGCTGACTTCCCGTTGCTGCGCGGGGTGCCAAGACGCCTCACGTGGGAAGAATTCACTCGTGGGACTCAAACATGCTTGGATAATTCCAATTGAATGCGAGCTTTGTCGACCGGGCAACCCTGTTTCCAATGGGTTGGAACCATTTCTCTTCAACCAATTAACTCCCATTCAACAGTTTGCCACCTATATTGATTAAGGGCTGGGCCCATTCCTGCCTGGCATCCGTTCAGTTCGCGAGGGACCCGATCAAAAGGGTTGTTTTAAGGCGGCCGCTCTTTCAAAAAAACTTGCCGATCTCCTGATTGGCAAAAACGCCTAGGAAATGATGATCCCCACCAAGCCCAAATCTTTTTACTATAGCACATATGGTGACAAAATGTGTATTTTTTTGTGATATCCAGGGCTGAAAGGACCCGCTTGCTGGCTTCCATGTTGATGTTGCCCCCTGCTTGAGGAGCCCCTCGCTGATCCTTAAGGGGGTGATTCCTTTCCAGCCATTCTCTCGGGAGGGTTGTACATCTGGACAACTTCCTATAATCGCGAACTCCCTTGTAAAGGACTTTTATTATGGGTGAGCTCACCAACCCGAATCTGTGAAACCGTAAACTAATTTGCACATGTTGTTGCTCCCGTACCCGCATGTCGAAACCGTCTTGAAGGACACCCTTCTTGCATGTGTTACTTCATGGATCCCCTGCTTGACAATGGCCCCTGATATTTGCCGGGTGGTCGTTGAATTGGAGGCTTGCCTGCTTCGGTCTTTGCATTGGGTTTCTTGTGAGTAAACACCCAATGCGAGGGTGCACCCGATGTCTGCGCCTCGCACGCGGGGCCACCACCCTGGTCGCTCTTCAGGTGTACGTAGTGCTGGCACCCGAACGTGCAAGCGTCGAAGAAGTAGAGCCTGGCCACTTCGAAATCTCCTCAAATCTGCGATAAACTGGGGCGTCACCCGATACCTGTGGTACCAAACTGGGATCCCTTTGCACCAACTACTTCATCACTTCAAAAATAAATTCTCCTGGTATCAGACAAAGCGGCCGTGACACCCAATGTCCACCACAATGGTTTGGTTGCTAAATACATCCCCTGGGTATGTAAATCGGTCCAACAAATAGTTTTCTACAACCATGAACCGGGACACGAGGAACATTGGCAGAAGGACCCAACGAGGCTCTTGCAGGCTGGATGTGATTGATTCCGTCTCCCACAATGAAGCATTCAAATATTCAGAGTATTTCCACAAGGACCTGACAATGGGGGTGCAATCCTGCATGTTAAGTTCGGCAAGTGCAGAACCCAGCAAATAAAAATATGTATATGGCCGCGTTGCTTTTCGAGGGTACCCTTTTTTTGCACTAAACCAAAGGAACACCGGCCGGTTCGTAAAGGCCCCGCCTGACAGGACCCACACTGCCGTCGCGGTCCTCAGACGGCAAAGGCTGCTTGAAAGCTTTCCTTCACTGCAAGTTGCTGGTTGACACTTAGCTGGTAAATGCCCGGTTTTCCTGGAGCTAGTGGACACCATCTGAGGTTGCATCTTAGCGGGGAGGGTAAGTAGGTTGTTTTGCCATACAAGTGTTCAAGTCATCTACCGATGACAGACAGCGTTCCCCTGGGATTTCTAGACCTGGCGGGTGACTAGGTGGGTCTGCCCTCGACATACGCCGCCCCAACAAAAACAACAAGAGAGGAAGGATTTTCTCCGAAACGGCACGCCTCCTGATGACTTGCCAACTCCTTTTGTTTAGGTTAGTCAAGCACTCCCCCAGCCAAAACAACCAAGCATAAGTTATCTGACATGCGTTTCTAAGGCCCCCAAATCCACTGCCAAGAGAGAGCCGAAAGGAACAAAAAAGCTAAAATGGCAAGACTTTCCTTCTTGGATTCTCCCTGAATGCCAAGAAGTCCGAAATCCATTTTGAGCACCCCCCCCCCCAAAAAAAAAGAAAAAAGAAACAAAAACAAGCATCTGAAAGAAAGGTAGAGCTCCCTGTGTCGCCCAGAAAGCCGAAGCTTCCGTGAAGTCTCTGTCCATAATGCCATCGCAGTTCGCAGGAGAACCCGCGCAGGTGCTGCACTCGAGCCTGAAGGGGTGCCCGTCGTGAGCGACCCTTGATTTGGGCTTCGCTCAGTGTTTTGCGCAGATCCCTTCGCAACATGTTCAGCAAAAGGTACACCTTCGTGTTTCCGTGGACATGCACAAAACATGCGGAGCCCTCGCCTTTGCTGGAAAGGTTCACCTCACCCCTTGATGGTTTGGATTGCGCGAACTGGTGCTCAAGAACCGTCCTCCAATTTCCCTACAGATCCATTGGCTCACTCCTGTTCATTCCCTGCCCCACTCCAGTAAAAGGACCTGGAAAAAGGGCGCTCTTTGAACAAAATCACAAAACCACTTCAGGTCATTTCAGGTCGATTTGCTTTGGGCAACTGACTGCAAACCAGCAAGGTCATAGGTGTCCTTTGATAAAATAGATTGGTTTCCCTTGTAAAATGGAATAGAGCCAATCTAAACCTGTGGAACCCATCTACGTCCAAACCAAACCAACCCAAAACAAGCCATGATGGTTTGCAGGTGATCGGGTGAGCTTTTTTAATTGGCTTCGACTTCACGCCAAGAAGCTGCTTGCAGTCGCGGAAATGGAACTGGCAGGCTTGGAAGCAATCCTACCCCAAGCAACGGACCGGGCCGAACCCCTTGCGGATATTGTCAGCGGGAGCAAACTCGGACCCAGAAAACCACACGCATCTGATCTGATCCCAGTTGGGGATGAGTCGCCACGTTGCCCAATCTCTGCACAAGGTGCAGTGTGTGATGCGTGTGACAACTGTTTGCAAAACCGTTCAAGAAAGGAGAAGAAGAATACAATGGAGAAATACGGACACACACACACACACTTGCACACTTGCACACATCCCGTTACAAATTTGAACTTGTGTTGCGAACCGCTGATTGCGAGAAAAAACCGGGAACATGTGTCAAATGCAACCATCAATTCACCAATTGCCAAAGACTGTTCAGAGTTGCAGACATTGGGCAAATGCCTGACGGCTGAAAATTGTTTCAAAATGGCTGCGTGGCTGCCTGGCTGAAATGGCTTGAACATGGCTGATAGTGGGCCGACTGCTGAGTACGCGCATTTGTGGTGATTTGATGCCTTTCATGCTGAAACTAACATTGTTCGATGAAAAAAGAACCAAAAAAACGCGTGTGCAAAATCGGTGCGATGTTTACTGGCAACTCTTCAAAATCAAATCTGGACTTACACAATGCTGAAAAGGGATGTACCAGAAACGCACATGGCAATGCGCAATTGACAAAGCTCAATGAATCTGGGCATGCCCCGAGAAACACACAAAACAAACAGAGAAACAACATGCTAAGAATGATGAAGAACCCCCGCCCCCCCGCCCCAAACGACATGTGAAGAGTGCAGCAGTCCTCGAATCCCGTCCACCGCGGTGGTGGGCTCGAGCTGCACCAGTCCTTGGCGAGCCGATCCGAATTCAGGGCTGCCAGCCGTTTTCCTCTCAAGTTTCCCGAGAAAAAGGGAGCCCTCAAAAAAAAGGCGGGAGGTAATCACTTGAATGCTTTGAGGGCCAACCTCTCCCAGGGATTGCAACCACGCTCGCAGCTCTTTGGCTCCAAACCTGAAACAAGAAATGCACAAGTCTGTTTTGGGGGCTCAAAATGGCGGTTATTCTTTTGGTTTCCCTTTTTGAACCGAACCAAAACCGGGCGGGTTTCCCAAAAAAAACACACCCAAATCCAGAACAAGCGTCATGGGCGAACTGGTGTCGTGCTCCACAGACCGCGAGAGTTGGTGAGCTACTTCGTTGGATTGACTTAAAGGAACATACGGACAACAACTTGTTCTTGCTCGGGGTGGTATGTTGACAGAGGGAGGTATCTTGACACATGCTCAATTTAACACGCGCCCCCAAGAATCGGTCCCCAGAAGCAAGGTTCTGCTAAGACCCGCAGCACGTCGCGTTGCAATCTGAAAGTGTTGCACGCATGGGTGTGTCTCAAAATGGGGAAGTCCTTTTTGGATGGTAAACCTGCCTGAAAGGGGTCTGGAGGCACCTTGGCCGCCAACCATCTCAGACTCACCATACGAGTTTGTTGAGAGCGCGTGTTCGGAATTCAAAGGGCAGGTGAAACTTGTTTGAATTTGGTGAATCGCCTGGTGTTTACATTCTGTTGGACCAAGCACTAAGGATTCCGCAGCTCAGCTTGCTCAGCATAGGCAGATCAAGGTCCCAGGAACCAACAAGGGCTGATTCCCATGTTTTTTCATGTGGGCAACGGCTTGGCAAAAGAAGGGGTGCAATAGGTGTTCTTGCAGGAGTTTATTCCTCGCGTCCCGCCCACGTTGGGCCAAGGCTCAGCCTCCTGCTCAGCCCACCACCCGCCACCACCCGTGTCCCTCAGTCAGGGTGGATTTGCAAAAGGCGTGGTGGCATCTTTTCCCGCACGTCCCCCAACACTGTAATCTCCCAGCAGCCCACAATGTTCCAAAGACTTCGTGAGGCATATGATTGGTTGCCCCTTTGGGTGGACCCTTGATCACCATTTCATTTTAATGGGATACCCCTCAAGAAAACGCTGGACTTGCTTGAGGAAAGAAGCCCAACATCTAAGTCGCCTTTTTTCAACCCAAAACCAAAAGCAAACCCATGCGCAAGCTCGACATTGAGTACCAAAGGTGTTGTCAACACCTTGCC